CCATCCATCCATCCATCCATCCATCCATCCATCCATCCATCTATCCACCCATCCATTCACTTACCCACCCATCCACTCACCCATCCATCCACTCACCCATCTATCCACTTACCCATCCATCCATTCATCTATCCACCCACCCATCCGTCCATCTGTGCATTCATCCATCTGTCCATCCATCCATCCTTCCATTCACCCACCCATCCATCCACCCACCAATTCATCCATCCATCCATCCATCTATCCACCTATTTGTTGATTTATCTATCTGTCCATCCATCTGTCCTCCCATCCATCTACCCACCCATCCATACACTTACCCATCATGCACTCCCCATCCATCCACTCATCTATCCATTTGTCTATCCATCCTTCCAACTACTCACCCATTATCCACCCATCCATACATCCACCTGTCCATCCTTTTGTCCATCCATCCATCCATCCACCCACCCACTCAGTCACCCATCCATTTGCCCATTGATCCATCCATCCTTCCATCCATCTATCCACCCATTGGTGCATCCACTTTTTAATCACCTACTCAGAGTGGAAAGCCAATATATGCCCTCAAGGAACTCATAGAGGCCTGGTGTTAAGTATTAAAAAGTGTAAGGAAGGGAAGGTGCTCTGGACACAGAGGAAGGGGTGCCTGATGCTGGGAGAATGGAAGTGCAACCTGGGCTGACTGAGGCATAGGTGCTTAACAATGCTCAAGCATGGGGAAACCTCACTCCTGATTTCAAGCTGTTCTTTGCAGAATGCATCAGAGGCTGAGCTAGCTGTTAGCTGAGCTCTTCAGGACAAAGAAGAATATTCCAGATAGTTACAGGGAGGAGGGAGAGTGGAGTCAGAAGGAAAGCGCACACGTGCACGGTTAATAGAAGACTGCACAGTGCATTCTGGGAGGCTCGGGCTGTGTCGTTGGGCTCAGAGTTGAGACGAAGACACAGGTCCAGACTGTGAAGGGCCTTGGCTCACAGCATGGCAGGCACCCTCCTCAAACCCAAGCCCTCAGAGGCCAGATGAGGACCTGCTTACATGCAGGCCTCTCTGAGGATGGTTTCTCAGGCCTGTGGGGTGAGCCCTCTCTGCATGGGCCTCGTGTGTCCCATGAATGAGCTTATGTTGCATCCTGTGAAGGGATGGTGCTGCCAAAGGATCATTCAGTGGAAAGGTGGCCTGATGCTATCTGTGCCATGGAAGGAGAGGGACCAAGGGGCTGGGCAGTGCTCAAGGCACAGGCTTTGGAGGCACATATCTTACCAGTCAGAACATGTGATTAGAACTCACATGGCTTCTTCAGCAAGCCTATTATAAATGCTTCTAAACTAGCCAGCAGTGATATCTGTATCTAGATGTATATCTTTTTGACAGTCTTGTTAAAAACATGTGAGCTAGCCATGTCTTAAAGACATGAATCAGAAAGACATAAACTTGCATATTTGCATAAATAACTGCCAACCAAGAAAGCAAACAGGTGTTATCTGTATCTTCAGGAGCACTTGATTAGACTCCAGAAGCGGAAACTGCAGCTGCCCCCTGATCTCCCGCTGCTACAGGCCCAGGCAGGGCCCCCACAACCCCTGCAGCAGCAGAGTCCCCAGCTTACCACGGTCACAGCCCCATGGCCCGGAGCCCTGCTCATGGGCACCATCATGGCCTACCTCCAGGTGGCCCGGCTTGTAATTTTCTGTCATCATTGTTTTTAATATTTGAGGTGGATTGATGATTCTAGCCACTGAGGAAGGACAACCTGGTGATGTAGCAGGTTCATGTGACCCTTGTTTCTTGTTATTTAGACTCGAGTCTCCACCTCCCCACTGCAAGGCCCAGAACAGATCTCAGCGCCTACACCTCAGTCAGCCCAGGTTGTTCAGGCCAAGCCTCCCGTGGTGTCCCGGCAGCTGCAGTGTCACCGACTGGGGTCATGGCACTTCCCGTCAGCCTGGCAGGAATTAGTGTCACCATTGGGCAGCCACAGAAGGCTGCAGGTACGTGGCCACATTTGACTCCTAAAATGGAAACCACTTCTTTGATTGATTTACATTAAACCTGTTTGAATTTTTCGTGACTACAAGTTGTTTTGTTGTCTTCCAATGTGTTAATTTTTAAAGAAAGCTTAATTAGAATTTCATTCCTTGTACACCTCTCTTTCTCTAAACAAATGAAGTACAGACCCTTTAGCAAAAGATGCTTATCTCAATGGAAGATGCAAGATGGGGGGCATTTCTATTTCTAAGGCTGAAAGTGTTTCCATTATGCTCAATAACTGCTAGGAAGTTCACTTTTCTGGTCAGATTAGCAACATGTTGACTATGAAATGTGCCTGGAAGCTCAGTATCAGTAAGTTCTCAACATGTCCCATGCTCCATTTCTTTCCCATCACCTCAGAAGGACAAACTGTGGTCACACAGCCTCTGCACTTGCAGCAGCTTCTGAAGCTCAAACACCACCAGCAGCAGAAAGCTGTGCAGCCCCTGGCTGTCCTGGGCCCCGCTGCCGTGCAACAGAAGGTAAGTGGGTCCAGCAGGGCTCGGCTTTCTTGGAATGGAGTACTCCTTAGGCCAGAGGGGGCTGTGCTCATCCTCTCCCTGCAGAACAGCCCTGTGGAGAGTTCGGGAAGAGGTGCTGGCACGTTCCTGGAGAGCTGTGTGCGACTTGATCCAATAATTCCTGCAGGTATGTGCTCTCTAAGGGATAGCTTGCTTTTAAAATAGAGATATAAGTACAAAAAGCAAGAAAAAGGTTGGATTTTGTCTTTTCTGTATAGTATAACATTTAGAAGAATATTTTAAATGATTTCTATGAAAAATCACTGAGACGAGGACTTCTGTTTTTAATAATATGGTAGATTAGAGACCTTGAAAACCTGTCTCAACAAAACATCTGAAAATGCCAAACTAAAAAAAAAAAAGCCAGATAAAGTACATAAAACCATAAATGAATCTGCAGGATAGTGAGTGAGTCCAGGAACCCAGTGGGAGCAAAAGTCCCAGGAGGTGAGTCTGTGCTAGAGCCTCTGTTGACCCTGGGTACACGTGGACCCAGGTGGCCTAGAGCTCTGGGATGGGGTTTGGGGAGTGGTCTGGAGAAGCCTTGGGCCCATGCAGGTCCAGAACCAAGTTGGAGGCCACCGCAGAGAGCTGGGCTCATGAAGGGACACAGCAAACACTTCCAGGGAAAGGTGAAGTGGGAAGAAGCCTTTCTCCAAGATGCACTACAGGAATTGTGTCTTTCTCGGCCATGGCTCTGGATGGGACTTCTATAAATGTTTCTCCTATGAACTTATGGCCACTGGCCAGTACCCTCCACCACAGGTTTAGGGCCTACATTTATACTATTTACATGTTCAAAAGAATTTCAAACTGGGAATTTTAATTGCAAATACATTTGGAGCTGTAGTGCTCCCAGGCCCCTGGCAGAAAGAAATATAAATTTTTGCTAGAGGAACCTTCAACGCTAGTCCTCAAGGAATTTCAACCAACAGAATCCCCAGAATATAAGCTCATAGTAGAAAATCATAGCACATACAGGGAAAGGGCCTCAGGAGTAACAGCCAGAAGAATGACACCTGCAAAGAGTCAGACTGAGAAGAAGAAATACAGAGTATACTTAATGTGTTTGAAGGAATAAAGGAGGGAGTAAAAAGCATGAATAACAGCAAGGGATTATCAAAGACCAAGCAAATAAAAAAGTGAACCAAATAAACTTACAGAAATGAAAAATGTAATAATTGAAGTTCAAAACTAATGGAAGTAATCTTTATTCCTACCTCACACCACATACAAAAATTAACTGTAAATGGACCGTAAACATAAATGTAAAACGCAAAACTATAAGACATGGGGAAAAATTTTTGTGACCTTGGGTTAAGTAAAAATTTCTTAGATAAGATACAACAGGAAAAGTACAGTCTATAAGAGAAAAAAATTAACAAGTTAAGCTTTAATAAAAGTAAGCATTTTTGCTGTGTGAAACCATTGTTAAGAAAATGAAAAGACAAGTCAGTGGGATAATACCTCTGCCAATCACATCACTGAGTAAGGATGTATACCTGGCATGTATAGAGGACTGTCAGTGCTCAGTAATAAGAAAACAACCATTTTGTAAAGTGGACACAAGATTTGAACAGACGGGCCGGCCCGGTGGCGCACTGGATGGTGCGCCGCTTGGGAAGCGCGGCGGCGCTCCCG